ATTTGGGCCTTTAAATACCCTTGCAACTGCCTAGCAACATCAGAACAGTGTTATTATAGTTAACATTAAGCATTAAAAAAAGTTGCGCCAAAAAAAAAAGTTAACCCAAATAAAATAGGCAAGTAAACATCCTAGCAACACCTTATCTGAATTTCATGAGGAGCCAGTGTAGAGATGCTAAGATGTCATCACTCTTTCTTTACCCCTTTAGCAGCCTGGCTGCCATGTTTTGGACAAGCTGTAAATGGGACAACGCAGAAAGGGCAAGACCAATATATAACGAATTGCAATAGTCTAACCTTTATGAAATAATTGAGTGGATCATTATTTCCAAGTCCTTATTAGAAAGAAAATGTTTTATTTTAGTGATAGAACTTGAAGCATGTGCAATGAAATTAAAAGGGGCCTAAAATTGACCCTTGGGGGACACCAAACTGTAATTGAGCTGCAGTAGAGGGAAAAGTTCCCCAAATTTACAGAGAAACCATTCTTTAAAAGGAAAACCAATGGAGGGCAGTTTCTTATGGTCAATTGCGTTGAATCGGGCTCTGAGATCTTTTAAAACTAAGACGACAGGTGAATCTGAATCCATGGACAGTAAAATATCATCAGTAGGATAATAATGCAGATTCAGTGCTATGCAAATGTCTGAAACCAGACTGAAAATGTATGCAAGATGTTTAAGTGTTAATTCATTTAAAATTAAAATCATTAAAAAAAATCTAAGCAAGTAAACACCCCAGCAACGACCCTATAGTAACCACATAGCAGCACACAGAACAGGGTTATTATAGTTAGCTAGAATCATAAAAGAAACATTTTCATTACCTGAAATAAACATTAACTGAAATAAAATAAAATATTAACATTTTATTTCAGCTAGTTGCTAAAGCAACTTTTAGCTTGATGTACTAAAATGACTAAAACTAACATTTTAATTGATAAAATGAAAAACTATACAGACATATTAAAAAAATCATAAAAATCACAAAAAACAACAAAATGAAAACTAACTAAACTAACTAAAATGAAAATGAAAATGGAAAATATAAAAATATTAATAAATACTATAAAAGTATGGCAACAATACTGAAATATCCCTGACTCTGAACATACGACATTCTAGGATCATGACAGCAAGATTTACACACTTCATGTTAAAGAAAATGAGCTGGTAAAAACACCACAACTGGGAATATTACTAATGGATTCCTCTGTGCTGGAATGAGTGTATGGTCAACCAATCAAAGCATGTTATCTGTAACAGTGATGTCACATGACCCTGTTTCTTCAGTGCTCTTATGTAATCGCACAGCTTTACATTAGGCGTGGTGTTCCAGGTATCACTTTCTTCAGAACATCATCATCCTCATCCTCATTAGAGCTCTAAAACATTGATGATAACCTCTTAACAACCAACGACCATCTACCTTTAAAGCTCTGCATTATTAACGACTCTTTAGCCATCTATACAGTTAGAATTAGCATTTGAGAGCCGACTGATGCTTTTAAGTTTCAAAGTTTGTTTGTCACGTGTCCAATAGGGAAGACAAATGTTTGTATCTATGAGATATAGCGTTACTGTGAATAAGAGAAAGATAGATACACAAACATTAGATAATGCATTGAGAAATATACAAAATATACAGAAATTATGTACAAAATGATATGACTGTAAAAAATTATTCACAAAAAGTCAGCTGTGGTTGTCAGAAAAATCACTGTAAAAAAAATATGGTCACAACATTTCAGGCATTATGGGATGACAGGTTAAGTAGTGCCTGTATAGATTTCATACCGGTATATATCATGAAGTGAAGTGACATGTGGCCAAGTATGGTTACCCATACTAGGAATTAGTGCTCTGCATTTAACCCATCCTTAGTGCACACACACAGCAGTGAACGCACACACACCGTGAACACACACCCGGAGCAGTGGGCAGCCATTTATTCTGCTGCGCCCGGGGAGCAGTTGGGGGTTCGGTGCCTTGCCCTTTGGGTTACGAGTCCGACTCTCTAACCATTAGGCCACGACATTAACGTAATGTTAATATATCAACATACCTGAACTACTAAAATCTGCTCTAAATATAATCACTTAATGATAAACACCATAATAATGCGTGTACTAAAATAGAAAAGCACACGATTTGATGAAAAAAAGGTGTTCTGGAAATGTCGGACTCATAACTTTACTTACATACATACATACATGCATAAACGTAAAATACAGGCATTCTCTTGGCAAAAAAATATTTTCACAGTAAATTTAGGTAATTCCTACTTTTAAACTTCTTTAAACCTAATTTTGACATTACCTTACCTTTTTATTGTCTTGAAGTGAAATTTTTTTTTTTTAGCATTAAAAAATATTTTAATTATTACTTACATAATTTATATCTATACTATTAACTTATAAACCTATTTGACATTTTTAAAAGTACATTTATTGTCTCGTTAAATAAAAAATGTAATATAATTGAATTTTGTAAAAAATATTTTACTAATATATTATAGTATAAATATAACTAGTATATTTATACTATTAACTATAAACTGAATTTTGACATTATCTTACCATGCATATACGGTCTTGTTAAACTGAAAATTTATGTAATTGATTTTATTCATATAATTTATTTTGGATTTTTTTGTATTATTAATTTTTTATCTAAATCTCAGAAATGAACATGGTTATTTTGACTTTAGAAAATGCACATACTATGCATGATACACATGCTGCATACCGCAGAAAAACAGTATGTTAGTATAGCATTGTAAACAAACTCTTTACCATTCACCACTGGGGTCTCACTGATCTTAATGGAGGCTGTATTTCCTTCTGTTTCCTCTGAAAGTCCACAATCAGATCTTGTCAATTTGCATTCAGGTCATCATAAAACTACACGAGACCGTGGAAAAGCTCTCATCTCTTTGATAGAGTCAGGAGATACACATGAACTGAACTGAGAGGATATGATGAAGTGCAGGTGGAAGCGAGAGAACGACGTCAAATTGAATCACATGGCAATCTGAGTCCACACACAGTCTGCTGAGTGGACAAACTCTGATCATTAAACAACTTCCCACACTTATGAGTACTGACCATAATTTCATTACATAAAAGTTAGATCAAGAAACGACAGACGCAAACTTCCTGTTAAGTAACTCCAAACACACATGATAAACCTCTCACTGACTTACATTCTGCTTAATTAAGCCATTAGGCTAGTTAAAGATTGCAGACAAACACAAAGCTTTAAACTTTTAATCACTTTATGAAGATGGTTTTGGAAGCATTTGTTTAAAACATTTGGACCTATTATTGAATCTTTTGTGCTTAATTTAATTATAATTACTACAGCCTAACCTTAACACTCACAAACATAATTGGTAGATTTTTGGTAGCATTTTTCTAAGTCTTTTAAAGAAGTTTTGCTGTATTTTGGTATTTTCAGACTTGTGAATGCTGGCATTATCTATACATGTACTGTCCTGAATTTAAATGAAAAATGTATCTTGAATTCAAAATTCATTTGATTTAATAAAAAAGAGTTTTATTAATTCATTTTTAATATATATTTTTAAATGTTTCTGTATAATTTAAATCATTTAAACATAACTTTTATAAACCTAATTTTGGCATGACCTTACTGTGCATGTACTGTCCTGTTAAACTGAAAATGAACATAATTTATTTTAAAAAAAAATTTAAAAAGTACATTTTTAAAATACTTTTAAATATTTTTCATCATAAATTATATTTATATTATTAACATCTATAAACCTAATTTTGATTAATTTTGTTAAATTGAACATTAATATAAATTTAATAATTTTGAATTTTTTGAATTTTATTTAAAAATTGATTTGAAACATTTGAAACATAAATTTGCATAATTTATATTAGAACTCTTAAATAAATAAGTCTTTTAAAGAAGTTTTGCTGTATTTAGGTATTTTCAGACTTGTGAATGCTGGCATTATCTATACATGTACTGTCCTGAATTTAAATGAAAAATGTATTTTGAATTCAAAATTCATTTGATTTAATAAAAAAGAGTTTTATTAATTCATTTTTAATATATATTTTTAAATGTTTCTGTATAATTTAAATCATTTAAACATAACTTTTATAAACCTAATTTTGGCATGATCTTACTGTGCATGTACTGTCCTGTTAAACTGAAAATGAACATAATTTATTTTAAAAAAAATTTTAAAAAGTACATTTTTAAAATACTTTTAAATATTTTTCATCATAAATTATATTTATATTATTAACATCTATAAACCTAATTTTGATTAATTTTGTTAAATTGAACATTAATATAAATTTAATAATTTTGAATTTTTTGAATTTTATTTAAAAATTGATTTGAAACATTTGAAACATAAATTTGCATAATTTATATTAGAACTCTTAAATAAAAATGACACATGTCAAATAAAATGAACCCTAACCCTAAATATTAAGATACAACATATATACTTGAATACTACTGTATACTTAGTAAGATACTAAAAACTTGAAATACTAAGAATGCATTTCAAAGCATTTTAGTGGCACCTGCTGGTGAGAATGAATCACTACAACTTCAATCCTTCAAAATAAATCATTTCTACTGTAAACACTAAACCAATCAGGGCAACCAACAGTTATTCTGGATATAAATAAGTTGTGTTTTACAGCATTTCAAATAAACAACAGCTCGTCCTCAAATGGTTTTGATTAACTCAGAATGAACTTTCTCTAAAATAAATATCTTAAAACACTTTTAAACACCTTTAGTGACAAATGTACTCAGTAGCAGCATTGCAGAAGTATTGTGAAACATTTTAAGACCATTCCATCTTATTTACTGTAGGTTGGATCTGTTTTCTGTGTAATAGAAAACATGATGTAATGGGTTTTTAAATAGCATTTTAACTTGTTTTGATATAGTTCTGCACTGTATGTAGAGGAGTATCTCTCCGGTGCTGTAGAGGGCGCTAAAACTCGTTCTAATGCGTCAGACTCCGATGTAAACATTCATCATGGCGTCTGCCGTGTTTTGGTTTTTATTTCCGCTCAATCTGTTTTTGTACACAAGAGGATTTACTGAAGTTCAGCAACTATCAGATTCATGCTACAAACCAATGAAGGACCACAGACCTTCATTCATTAAGTATGGGAATATATCTCATTTGTATATATATTTTACTTGCAATGACTTTTACACACCACTTACAAAACGTACAGTACTGTGTTAATATTTGGATAAGTACGATTTCAATATCTTGTATTTTAGTACATATACCATGGTAATACCATGTTATATGGGCAGGTACCTTATTTACTATGGTAGTATCATCTTTCTTTTTTCTTTTTTTTTTACACGTACCATGGTAAAACCATGTTTTTTGAATGTACCATTATAGTACCTCGGAACCATGTATATCTTTTCTATATAAATATGGTAATCTCACTGCCAAAAAAAAAAAGATTTTACTTTTTACTATTTTTGTCTGATCCAGTACGAGTATCTAAAAAGTCTTAAATTAAAGTAAACAAGATACATTTACTTGAGAATCAAAATGACCTAGTTCTCATTTTCTAAAGAATGTATCAAAATTAAGTGAATTTCTGCTTAAAACAAACAAAAAAAAAACTGTTGGTGTGGTAAGAATAATCTTTTTTCCCTTTTAATTACATTTATTTATCTTACCCTATTGGCCTAAAAAAAAATTCTTTCTTTTTTCAGAAAAGGAAATGTAGTATCTAAATATTTTTTGAATAAAGATATATTTACTTAAGAAGCAAAATTACAAGACTTGAGTTTATGTTTAAAACAAGAAAATTGGTGGTCAATAGGGTAAGAAATGTAAATCTAATCAAATTTTCATTCTCAAGTAAATTTGAGTAAAAAAAAAAATTTTTTTTTTTTGTTCAGTACCCTGTTACCTTCACCTTTTACATGGAGGGTAAGAGGCAGGGCATTTAGGAAGGTAATGAGATGTTATATCAAATCTAAAAGGCACTAACTGTATTTTAACCTGATGTTTACAATGTGTCTTCTGCTGTCAGTTACTGAACTGATATGATACTGGTTCTGTAATAATAATAATAATCCGTGCATGTTTTAGGACATACCCCCGGCCTCATGAATATGTAAACGTCTCTGATCTCCCCGCCTCCTGGGACTGGCGCAACATTGATGGCAAAAACTATGCGAGCGTCACACGCAACCAACACATCCCACAGTACTGCGGCTCCTGCTGGGCCATGGGCGCCACCAGCGCACTCGCAGGTCAGACTCAGGACACTACAGTAGAGTACAGAAACTTCAAAGTCAAACACATGCATTTTTCTGTCTTAAACTCAGATCGCATTAACATCAAGAGGAAAGGGGCGTGGCCTTCTACTTACCTGTCAGTGCAGAACGTGATTGACTGTGGCGGGGCAGGCTCATGCTACGGTGGAGATCACATGGGTGTATATGCTTATGCACATGAGCACGGCATTCCTGACGAGACCTGCAATAATTATCAGGCCCGAAATCAAAGTAAGACACCAAACTCTGCAATGACATGAGATGCTATAAAACTGTATGGAGGCTTGTTTCTGCCATGGGATAAAAATAAAAAAATTTAAAAAAGGGAATTGTGACTTTTTAATCTCACAATTCTGACTTTTCTCGCTATTCTAAGAAAAAATGTCAGAAGTGAGAGATATGGGGCCTCATTTATAAAGAGTGCATACACACGGATTTGTGTGTGTACACTTAAATCCACGCTATTGCTCATATTTGTAAAAACTGCCTTTGACTTAGAATAGTGCTTGGCGTCACGTCAGGGTCTGAGCAGACATACACACTTTTTCTTGTCAGAGTACTGCAGGTTTTAAGCTGTTCTTGCAGCTCGCTGTTCTAAATGAAAGGATTTGGATGATGACTGGTGAGCTTTTATATGTTAATGACATTAATTAGGAGTCGTTTACAAGGCAGAGAGCTGAAACCATTCAGTTGCGCGCAAGTTCATTTGCGATTCATAGATTTCACATCTGAAAGAGAGGTGTATGTGCGTACGTTCATTCATCACACCTACGCATATTTGAGAGATGATCGTAAGATCAAATTTAGGATAGTTTCTGTGCAACATTTTATAAGTGAGGCCCATAATCTTGCAATTTTGAGAAAAAAGTCAGAAATGCGACAAAGTTAGAATTGTGAGATATAAACGCGCATTTCTAAAAAAATAAAAATAAAAAAAAAAGCCAGAAATGTGAGATACAAACTTGTAAAATCTTAAGAAAACAGAATTGTGAGATACAAACGTGCAATTCTGAGAAAAAAAGTGAATGTGAGATATTGTATAAACCAGGGCTGTCCAAACTCGGTCCTGGAGGGCCGATGTCCTGCAGAGTTTAGCTCCAACTTGCCTCAACACACCTGACTGGAAGTTTCTATGCCTAGTAAGAGCTTGATTAGCTGGTTCAGGTGTGTTTAATTAGGGTTGGAGCTAAACTCTGCAGGACACCGGCCCTCCAGGACCTAGTTTGGACAGCCCTGGTATAAATTCACAATTGTGAGAAAAAAGTAAGAGTTAAGAATTATTACAAGATGTAAACTCAAGAGTTTACAACAGTTCATATCTTGGAAAAAAGCACTGTGAGATATACACTCAGATTTGCGAGAATAAACGTCAGAAATGTACGGAGCCCCGCACATGGCATGCAGGAAAAAAATAGTAGGCTAAATCATGCGCACGATTTACTATTTCATTCCCTCGATTTATAAAATGTGCGCACGATTTACTAATTCGTTCTCTCGATTTGCTAAATCGTGCACACGATTTATAAATCGAGAGAACGAATTAGTCAGTTGTGTGCACGATTTAGCAAATCGAGGGAACGAAATAGTAATCGTGTGCAAGTTTTAGTACATCGAGGGAACGAATGAGTAAATCGTGCTCATGATTTATTTATTTTTTCTTGCTTGTCATGTGCGGGGCTCCGTAGAAATGTGACAAATGTGTTTTTTTTATCTCATGGCAGAAACAGGCCTTCATAAAAATGTCATATGAGTTGCCTATAAAAGGCATTTTTTAATCATTACAAAATGCAAATGTGAAATTATTGCAACTTGCATTAAAACATTTGTCCAAGTAACAACAAAATAATAATTGCACTAATCATGCACTAATTTCTCCTGTATTTATGCACACTGTAACAGTGAAGTTCACTGCAAGTTGAAGTGGATTTAAATATTATGACTTTTTTTTCTGTAGAATGTGACTCATTTAATCAGTGTGGCACATGCTCGTTCTTCGGTTCCTGCTCTATAATTAAAAACTACACCGTGTGGAACGTTGGAGACTATGGAGACGTCTCAGGACGAGATCGCATGAAGGCTGAGATCTACAAAAATGGGCCAATCAGGCAGGTTCTACAGCCCATATTTTTAGTTAAATATAAATTAAAATAGTAAGCTACAACTCTTGGGCCTCAATGGCAGAAAAATCCATATGATGCAATTTTGATAAAAGTATTTGGCTATAGTTCATTAACAGTGCAGGGTTATAGTTAACTAAAACTAAAACCATAAAAACAGTTGCTTGACAAAATAAACTTTAAGTATATTAAAAAAAATACATTACATCTCTAACCTGCTAAAAAGGTGTCATTTTTCACTTAAAGGAATATTTTACTCAAAAATGAAAATTCAGTCATCATTTACTAACCCTCATTTACTTCCAAACTATGAGTTTATTTCTTCTGTTGAACACAAAAGAAGATATTTTGAAGAATGTTGGTAACCAAACAGTTGACGATAGCCAATGTACAGATCATAAAGCATGTAAATACATGAATGTATGTGTTTGTTATTAAATGCCATACTTACAATGCAACAGTACTTTGGGTCTAAGCTCCATCTCTCTATTGGTGTTGGTGAGAAAAAGGCTGAAGACTCCTGCTGTATAATGTCTAGAGAGAAAAAACAATATTGTAAAATAAATGTAAAAATTTCCACATCAGGGTTGTATTTGTTGTATCGCCTTTAATTGATCTGAATTTTATTATAAGTCATTGTGTGTAGACAAGATGATTTCCATTGCTGTATTATAGTAATCAGAATTTAATAAGGATCATAAGAATAATGAGAATTACAAACAATGATTATAATAAGAATAATTGAAGAGCTAATATATGGACACAAAGAACATGAAAGCATTACAGTCATGAAAATTTGTGGAGAAAAACATATACACCTTTATAATAAATATTATAGTAAAATGTCTAGTTTTCGTCATGCACTATATATATATATATATATACACACACACACACGGTAACCGAGGCAAATGAGTTACAGTAGATTAACAAAACATTTAGTATTGTCATAATTCATTACCTTATTATGCATTAACATAATACAGTAATTTTACTTATTTATTTTTAAAGAGACGCTAAAATTACTGACAGAAATTCCTTTAAGGTAATTTCTTCATGGCATTTGCTTTCTCTCATCTGGGCTTAGCAACAGCACTAGCAGACGCTGCATTGGTCAGAACTCACTGAAGGAAGCCCTGCAGTTCGTTACATCTCCTGTCAGTCAAACAGAACACGAACCAAGCCATGGTTCTTGGCTACAGGAGAAAACAAGGGCACTGTGCTGGATAATTACCCCGCCGTGAGGATGCTGAGAGGCGCAGCCCTCCTCTGCCTTTCACCGCGGCTCAACTCTGGATCGCTTTTATTAAGATGCATCATTTGATCTCTCTGCACCTGAATGCGCTTGCTTTAATTTGATTTCAAATGGCGTAAATCTAGATTAGAATGATGATGCCAAACATCTCTCATCTGCTCTGCAGAATCCGATTAAATGACATTAGCGGGTTGAATTGACAGATTAGCGGTATTATAATTGCTTTCATTGTTTTTAAGATTATAAATTCTCTTTCAAATATTGGTGCATCATTTATTGCGCTTGCAAATCCGATTCGTCTCGCAGGCATCGATCCAGGTAAGAATCATATTTCAAAATCATACTAATATCCATATGCATAATGTAAGGTTGCATACTAGTTGACTGTCTCTGTGATGCAGTATGTAGTATGCAGTGTGTTTTGCAAACCTGCATCTCTGCTACATGCGTTGCGCAGCAACCAATCAATCAATGCCATTGATGTGTTCAGAAGCGTTACAGTGTGCAAACCATGGCAACCTGCTCTATGGGATGCAAGAAGACCATATTAACAGTGATTGCAAAAATCTAAGGCTTAATTAGGCACCGTTATTGCACTGATGCATTGCAGTGCATCACATATTAAAACGCCATCCATCCAGATGACTTGCATTTAAGCATGATTCAATGACAGCACAGTTAAAGCCATGTGGGGTTGGTTGGGACTGTACATATTGTTCTTAATGTATAGGCTACTAAGCACCGTACTGTACAGCAGTCTGCCTACACACTCTAATTCTGCATTGCAGACTGAACGATGACACACCAAAACACACTCCCACTCGGCAAATGTGGGGCAATGCATGCAAGAGTTTGCTTTGGATTTCATGCACGAATAGAATTATTTCTTTATATGAAATACTTTGCCATCATCATGCAGTAGCAAGACTAGGATCAAATCCATTAATAAGCTGTTATTCCAGTAATATGCAGTGTATATTCATAGTGTACGTCAAAAAATATCTGACTTTAATACACTAGGAATAGCAAAAGAGAAAAATAATAATGGTTCAAATGGAGACAGAACAGCTTGATCATTGCAATAAGAGTTCCTGGTAAAAATGCAAATCTCTTCATTGATTTTTCTCATTAAATAATTTAATATATTATTAAAAGGTACAGTTAATCAGTGTGCTGAGTTTAATCAAACAGATTCTGAGTTATGGGCTTAATCTATAGATTGGGGAGTTTGAATTCTTGTAGCTTTGAGTGGGATTTTGTTTTAAAGGAAGAGTTCACCCAGAAATGACAATTTGCTGAAAATGTACTCGGCCTTAGACCATTAAATATGTAGATGAGTTTGTTTCATCATCAGAACAGATTTGGAGAAATGTATCACTTGCTCAGAAATGGATCCTTTGTAGTGAATGGGTGCCGTCAGAAAGTTCAGAGTCCAAACAGCTGATAAAAACATCACAATATATTCACACCACTCCAGTCCATCAGTTAACATCTCGTGAAGCCAAAAGCTACATGTTTGTAAGAAACAAATCCATCAAGATGTTTTAACTTCACCATTGCTTCCAGCTAAAATGCGAGTTTTCTATTCGTAATTTTGCTTCCTCCAGTGAAAAAGTAATCTTGTCTGAATCAGAAGAGAAATATGCACAGATCAAGCAGTGTTTACAAGCTAATCTTGTCTGAATCAGAAGAGAAATATGCAGAAATCAAGCACCGTTTCCAATTGAAAGAGTCCAAAAACATTCTAAACAAATATGTGGCTGGATTTTTATGCGAGAGACAACAGGAAATTGACTTTTTCACTGGAGGAAGTGTTGGATTATTCATTTTTGCCAGAAGCAACGGTTTAAAGTTGAATAAAAACATCTTAATGCTGAATTTTTTTCTTACAAACACAGTTTTTCACTTCACAAGACATTAATTGATGGACTGGAGTGGTGTGGATTACTTGTGGATTATTGTGATGTTTTTATCAGCTGTTTGGACTCTCATTCTGACAGCACCCATTCACTGCAAGTCCAAAAACATTCTAAACAAATATGTGGCTGGATTTTTATGCGAGAGACAACAGGAAATTGACTTTTTCACTGGAGGAAGTGTTGGATTATTAATTTTTGCCAGAAGCAACGGTTTGAAGTTGAATAAATACATCTTAATGCTGAATTTTTTTCTTACAAACAGTTTTTCACTTCACAAGACATTAACTGATGGACTGGAGTGGTGTGGATTACTTGTGGATTATTGTGATGTTTTTATCAGCTGTTTGGACTCTCATTCTGACAGCACCCATTCACTGCAGAGCATCCATTGCTGAGCAAGTGATGAAATTTCTCCAAATCTGTTCTGATGAAGAAACAAACTCATCCACATCTCGGATGACCTAAGGATGAGTACATTTAAATTTTGGGGTAAACAATTACTTCAATGCTTTTATTATTCCAGCTGCAAAATTCAAAACAAGTATACTAGTGTAGCACAGTGAAATAGAGAGGACATTTCCTCTCTCCGTGAATCGTTCTTTTGATTTGTCTCTCTCTCTGTGCATCTAATTAGCGTTCCTGTGGAGATGTGGTAAACAGCACCTGATGCAGGAGAATCATTAGCTAATTGGCAGCATCGATGTTCTCCTCCCCATCTGCAAATCACTCCGTTGCATCGGATTTTAAACTTGCTATCAGTTTTTTCGAGCCGCCTTCGATTTTAAAGAAATAGTTCAGCCAATTATGAAAAATCTGTCATCTGCTCACCCTCAAAACACTTGCACTTCTTCTGTAGCTCCTCCTCCTCGTCTTTTATGCCGCTGTCTGTTCCTCACACAAAGCTTCTGTACAACTGAGGACTGAGAAATCAAGATGAATTTTACTGCCATGCAGATTGTTTAGCTAATATTTGGCCATTTTTAGATGACTGAAATCAACCGATAAACCAACCTAAATTTCAGTTTTCAGATTTTCTAATCAATCATGTTGAGTAAAAACCATTTAGAATCGGCGACTGAAAAACGAATCATGTGTCCCTGTGTTTGACCGACAGAAGTTCTCGGACATAAAACTGAGCTCTAACCTCATTGCATAATAGCTAGAGATTTACTATGGCAGAATCAGCCTGCAGCATTGATTTTCCTGTAGGTGCTGAAGTCGACACTTTCACCGCTGCAGAAGCCGGGGCAATTGTATCGTTCTAGCAAAAACAGCAATTCCTAGAGGATTCCGGAAGGTCTTTATAATTGCAAGAAAGTCTTAAAATCATGTGATGAGACCCAAAAAACTATTACTGTAGATCTGAATACACAATGACCCCAAACAGTATTTGGACACTTAAAAATGCCAGAATGTCATTACATTAGATACAAAATATCAAAGAGTGCCTGTATGCATCTCAAATGCTGCTTCTCCAAACTAACTTTCATTTTCTTCATCATTTTAATCAAATGTTTTGGTGATTTTTAGTGGACATATGAAGTCAGCTCTCCTCAAGTTGAAATGAATAACACTTGCTTTGATATTTTGTTACATACATGACAATAACGTTCAGATATTTTAAGGAGACCACTGACCTCAATGACTAATAGCAGTTTGTTTATAGTTAAAAGTGGTTGAATTTTGACATCAAGAAGCAGCACAAAACAGCAAGATAAGTTTTGCACCAGCTCTACATTTGATTAATAATACATCACCGCTAAAAACCTTCTCGCATTCGGTCTGAATAATGTATCGCCCCTCAAGATGAGTAATCTGAAAAATGGAGCAGGTGAAGGGCCAGTGAGGACAGAAGAGAAGAGTTAACGATGACTAATCCTGCTTCTGTTTGCTGGCGTCTCTGGCTGCAGGACAGGAAGCGTCGAGCTGCTGCGTCTGTCATTTCCTCCGTCAAAGCTGCTGTCTGCTGACTGATAGGGCTGTGAAGGACAAGGAAAACATTTCAGAAGAGCTAGACAGAGCGTAGCGTAGATGACCGTGAATATTTTAGCAAGCACCACAGAAAAACAAATGCACTGAAAAAATTTGGTGTAGAAACTATTTTCTCTCAGAATTGCTAGTAAATTTCATAATTACCAAGAAACATCATGTAACACATTTAATTAAACATGAGGGTTTTTTTTGTAAAACACTACATCAATACATTTACAAAAAAGAAAGAAAAGAAAGAAAAAAAAACCTTTTTAGTGTACAGTAATTGCAGACCTAGCCATCCAAATGTAGACTTAAATATGTTCTCAAACATTATTGTTTACATTTACATATAAGTTACATATTAAATTGCATTGCAATATGACAGCTACAATTTCTTTTTATCTTTCTATGCATTTAAATAGTGTTTACATTTGCATATTATATTGCAATATGAATGAAAATGTCTTTTGCACTAAAAAAATAGTTTTATATGCATAGTTTTATATAGTCTTTATATGCATTTACATGGTTAAATGACATTTTTACATTTACACATTGTTTACATTTGCATACAGTACTAAATTATATTGCAATATTATTTTTTTTCACATTATCTTTCTGTGCATTTACGTGAAGTGAAGTGACGTGACATGTGGCCAAGTATGGTGACCCATACTCGGAATTAGTGCTCTGCATTTACCCATGCAAAGTGCACACACACAGCAGTGAACACACACACACCGTGAACACACACACAGCAGTGGGCAGCCATTTATGCTGCAGCACCCGGGGAGCAGTTGGGGGTTCGGTGCCTTGCTCAAGGGCACCTCAGTCGTGGTATTGAAGGTGGGAGAGAGCGCTGTACATTCACTCCCCCCTACAATCCCTGCCGGTACGAGACTCGAACCCACAACCTTTGGGTTATGAGTCCGACTCTCTAACCATTAGGCCACGACTTCCCCAAATGTACATGTTTACATACTATGTTTACACTGACGTTGTTTACATTTACATAGTAAATTATATTGCAATATGACAGTTCTAGATACACTGTATAAAATTATTTTTCAAACAGATTATTGGAGTACTTTTTACGAGAAAACACTATTTCAGTCAATCAATTCAAGTTTAGTCAATGTGTTGCTTTTTTTTTTGTTTCATTTTCTTTTGCAACAGAAAATAATTATTTACATTTTTATTATCTGTGCAGTGCTGCAGCTGATAATTGCACTCAATACAAAATAAAGCAAAATATCAAAAGCATTTTCATTTGTGAGCAGCGACTGTTTCTGGCCAGATTGTTATTTCATGAGGCATGGTGCATGGAAATCGTGTTCATACTAATAATTCAGCTCAGGGTCTATGTACGTCATTTATCCAGGAGAGCTTCTGTCTGTTTTGATGTCTCATTGCCCTCGGAGTGACTATATTTAATCTAGCTGGCACAGAAATCGACCTCTGTAAACATTCACTAGCACTAACTGGATTCAGGAGCATCATATGTTAGTAAGAAGCAATCATAGCTATACAGATGCATTCATTTATATGCAGGTATCACTGTTGTCACGTTCTATACCGGCGGTTTTCTCCATTAGTACCCAAGGGAAGCACGGTGGAGGAGCCCGGGCTATTTTTTTGATCCTTGTCTAGGTCACAATGTGAATCATCTTCACTACTAGGATGCCGTTGGCAAGATCCAGGCAACATGCAGCACACTCTGTTCCCACTGTAACTTGCTTTTACTGCGGTTATTTGCATGGGTGAGTGTGTGTGCATTTTAAGAATTTCCTAAATACTTACTTCCATTGTGTCTCACACTCCTGGAGGAATTTATTTGATTGGAATTTACTCTCTTAAAGGAATAGTTCACCCGCAAAATGAAAATATGCTGAAAATGTACTCACCCTCAGACCATCCAAGATTTGTTTCTTCATACGATCAGATTTGGAGAAATGTAGCATTGCATCAGTGTCTCACCAATGGATGCTCTGCAGTGAATGGGTGCCGTCAGAATGAGAGTCCAAACAGCTGATAAAAACATCACAATAATCCACAAGTAATGTAAGTAATCCACAAACTGCATGTTTGTAAGAAACAAATCCATCATTAAGATGCTTAAACTTCAAATTATGGCTAAAATCTATCCATAACATTGAATCTATCCATTCTCCAGTGAAAAAGTCATTTCGTTTGAATCAGGAGTGAAATATGCACAGATTAAGCACCGTTTACAAGCAAAAACAGTTCTAAACAAATATGTTGGTGGATTTTGATGTGAGGAGGAGGAACAGGAGACTGACTTTTTCACTGGAGAAAGTGTTATTATGGATTATGAACTGTATTTTAGCTAGAAGCGATGTTTTGAAGTAAAAAAAAACATCTTGATGGATTTGTTTCTTACAAACATGCAGCTTTTGTCTTCTCTAGATGTTAACTGATGGAACTGAGGGTGAGTAAATGTTAAAAATGAATGTGAATAGCAGCTCAGATCATTTGGAAAAAAAATGATGAGAAACGTTTGACTTTGTTGAGATCTCTTCTGAAACTCTAGATGAGATGTGTGGGTCATTTTCCTACATCTGAGAAGTAGGAGACTCCTCCATTTTCTCTTCATTTAATCTCATTGCTGTCTAGGAGAAACAGAAGGCATTATTTTTGTAATGTTCTTTCCTGTGGGCTTCCATATCAAAAGTGTCTTTGTGCATGCAGGCTCTCTGGATCTTTCTCTGCAGTGTAGTTTGCATTGTTCATGGTGTATATGTGAAAGCCCTGCTGACAGCAGCTGTCATACTGTCGCTCGCAGGAACGGGAATGCAGCGCTTCTTTTGTGCAGATCCACACAAAGACCGGAGTGGGTTTGGCAATATCCACTGTAACGCAATTACACCGCATTAGTGCAACAGGCGCTAAAATGATGTTAGGAAGATTTAAACTGGGTGAAAGTTACTCAGCAGCAGAACAGCATGGACTGGTTTCCTCCTGATCCTGGACTAAGTGCAGAAACTTTAACGGAGAACATCGGTGGTAATGGATTGACCTGTGATTGGTGAACGGTCCCTTCGGTTTTGAAGAAAAAATGGGTGACCATTTTACTTCTGAGTGAAACAAGAAATTCAATGAGAAAAAAATAAGATGTAGATGCATTGATGTATCAACTGAACAAATGAACAAGTGTTTCTATGAAAATGTGTGTTGAAAAATCTAAAAGGACTTGTGATGTCAGACAAAAAGTAATTAGAGACTTATTAAAATTATTACATTTTGATTAAAGATTATGAAGACAAAGATTAATGATAACTGATAAATCAGTCAAAATATTTAAGAATGTTTAGATATTTGTGCTAGAAAACAAGATAAAAAAACTGAGTAAGAAAATCATTTTTACAGTGTATTTACAATCAGTTTTTTCTCTTAATAAAAATTGTTAAAGAAAGAAAAAGTTTGAGAACTTAAGAATTTTGTCAAGAATAACATGTAGGAACATTCTTACACACAAAAAAAAATTCTTAAGATTTTCATGAATCTGGCCCCAGGAACTTGAATGTAAATAGGCTCGATTTAGATTTTATGAAACTCAGGAAATGGTTGTAATTTGAAAGATGTAAGGTTGAGCCTAAGCAGACTGTGTGTATCTGTATGTCTTCAGGTAAAGCAGCGCCATGTTGACCAGCATCACCGAGAGCATCTTCTGCTGCCTGATGGGAAAGACGACCAGCGTTGTGCTGCCGGTCGAATCATCAGACGGCAAGCCTGCAGACGGATTCGAGTTGGTCGAGGTGAAGCCGGGTCGTGTGCTGCGCGTGCGCCACATCCTCCCTGAACGGCCTGCTACGACAGAAGCGCAGCCAGAAGCGGGCAGCAGCGTCCACTGCAAGCGCAAGATCACGGTGTACCGCAACGGCCAGCTGGTGATCGAGAACCTGGGCGACGTCCTCCACTCCGAGATCCTGCAGTGCCAGAACGGAGACGTGGAGCAGTGCAGCACAGTGGAGGTTGAGCTGTCCGATTACACCACCGCCCCCTCGTCCCCGGATCCCAAACTCGCTCCGCCGCTTCCCACCTCAGACCAGCAGAAGCCGGCTCCTCCGCCCAGACGCCGGCGGCGGAGACCCAAGCGCACCGTGCTGATCGATACGGAGCGCTGCATCAGCAGCTGTAAGGGGACGCATTCGGACGTGGCGCTCTTCTTCATCCACGGCGTGGGCGGCTCGCTGGACATCTGGGGGAGTCAGCTGGATTTCTTTTCGCGGCTGGGGTATGAGGTCATCGCCCCGGATTTGGCGGGACACGGTGCCAGCACTGCCCCTCAGATAGCAGCGGCGTACACCTTCTACGCCCTCGCCGAGGACCTGCGCGCCATATTTAAGAGATACGCCAGAAAACGGAACATCCTCATTGGTCACTCCTACGGGTAAACATTGCGTTTCTACTCAATGCATGCTTTTTTTTTGCATTATACACTATCAGTCAAAAAAGGTTGGACACTCATTTATTATGAATAATTTCAATATGTTAAAAAACAGCAAAATGATAAGAGATGAAGTGACAAAAAATGTGACAAAATCGAAAGCTTTAAAAACATTTTTTTTAACTATTTGTATATTTAAAAAATATCCGAAGAATATGACACAAACGCAGCCTTTGAAGTGACAAAAAATGTGACAAAATCGAAAGCTTTTTAAAACATTTTTTTTACTATTTGTAAAGATAGATAGATAGATAGATAGAAGTTTCTCAACTTGTTGTTTAGTTTATTCAGTTTATACAAAAAATCTGCTGAAGCTGGCTGCCTTAAACTTTTAAGTTTTCTTAACTTTTATTTTTTTATACAGATAGATAGATAGATAGATAGATACTAAGTACTAAAATTACTAGATAAAAATTAATAAAATAAAAACGTTAAATTGAATTATTTAAATAGAAAAAACTAATAAAATGACAAAATTCAAACAATTTGAGAAATGACAATATTAAAAAATCTAATAAAATATTAATGAATACTATAATAGCATATAAATATTACTAAAACTAAAAGTTACTATTAATAACTGCTTTCATTAATATAAATAAAGCTGAAATAAAATAAAATAGAAATATTTCATGAAAAACTTAAATGTTGCTTTGGAAACTAATTGGAATAAAATAAGTACTAATTACTAGATAAAATGTACACAAAATTACTAATACTTGAGAACTGAAAATATGAAAATAAATCTAATAAAAATATGAATAAATACTACAATAGTATATAAATAATACTAAAATAACACTGATTTAGTCACGTTTGCCAAACTTATGACTGTAAGCTCTATAATTCACTGAAGCCTTGTGTTTCTTACTGGCAAGCTTTTACTGATAAACCTGTGTCACCGTTTTGTTTTGTTCGTGTGCAGGGTGTCGTTCTGTACGTTCCTGGCACACGAGTATCCGGAGCAGGTGCATAAGGTGGTGATGATCAATGGAGGTGGCCCCACGGCCCTGGAGCCCAGCCTGTGCTCCATCTTCCAGCTGCCCTCCTGCGTCCTGCAGAAGAATATGACACAAACGCAGCCTTGGTGAGCATAAGACAGTTCTGTCAAAACAAAATTTTGACCTAGATAGAACGATAGATAGAACGATAGAACAATAGATAGATAGAACGATAGATAGAATGATAGAACAATAGATAGATAGAACGATAGATAGATAGATAGATAGACTTTTGCAATACTTTTATGACTTTTTTGCTTTAAAATGTAGGACTTTTTGCGATACATTTTAGGACTTTATGATACATTTTAGGACATTCTTGCAATATATTTTAGGACTTTTTGCCAAATAAGTGGACTTTTTTGCAATAAATTTAACAACATTTTTGAGATACATTTTAGGACTTTTGCAATACTTTTATGACTTTTTTGCTTTAAAATGTAGGACTTTTTGCGATACATTTTAGGACTTTATGATACATTTTAGGACATTCTTGCAATATATTTTAGGACTTTTTGCCAAATAAGTGGACTTTTTTGCAATAGATACTAAGTACTAAAATTACCAGATAAAAATTAATAAAATAAAAACGTTAAATTGAATTATTTAAATACAAAAAAACTAATAAAAATGACAAAATTCTAACAATTTGAGAAATGACAATATAAAAAAATCTAATAAAATATGAATGAATACTATAATAGCATATATATAATACTAAAACTAAAAGTTACTATTAATAACTGCTTTCATTAATATAAATAAAGCTGAAATAAAATAAAATAGAAATATTTCATGAAAAACTTAAATGTTGCTTTGGAAACTAATTGGAATAAAATAAGTACTAATTACTAGATAAAATGTACACAAAATTACTAATACTTGAGAACTGAAAATATGAAAATAAATCTAATAAAAATATGAATAAATACTACAATAGTATATAAATAATACTAAAATAACACTGATTTAGTCAAGTTTGCCAAACGTATGACTGCAAGCTCTATAATTCACTGAAGCCTTGTGTTTCTTACTGATAAACCTCTGTCATCGTTTTGTTTTGTTCCTGTGCAGGGTGTCGTTCTGTACGTTCCTGGCACACGAGTATCCGGAGCAGGTGCATAAGGTGGTGATGATCAATGGAGGTGGCCCCACGGCCCTGGAGCCCAGCCTGTGCTCCATCTTCCAGCTGCCCTCCAACTGCAGGGGGTCAAGTACGGGACCAGTAATGTCCTTCAGATAAGCCAACACCAACCTCTCAAATGTCTTCATGACCACAGACGTTAGGGCCACAGGTCTGTAGTCATTAAGGATATGAGGATATGGATATGCATTAAGGATATGCCCGTCATGAGAATTTACTTTTGCAATACATTTTAGGAATTTTTTTGCAATACATTTTAGGAATTTTTGCCAAATAAGTGGACTTTGTGTGTGTGGAATAACAGTGTGATGTTGGCTCACTCACGGCTCTCCTCTTCAACACAAGAGCGACTCTGTGCTGTAATGGCCTGTTGATGAGTAGAGGAGCATTACACATGTCCTCATGCAGATGTGCTCTGAATGAAACACTGGCGTCTCATTGTACTGCTGTAGTCAGTGAGGACTCCCTGCAGGCAGATAGGAGGGTCACAACGCTGTTAAACAAAACACAGAGTGCAGATGTTCTGCAAAACCACAATAAATTAGAAACTGCAAAATAAATAGTTCAAATCAAACAGTAAGACTGACTGTCTGAATTCATGTGGACAATTAAAAAATTACACAAATATACAAAACCACAGTTTCAGATCACTTTTCAGATTCACTTTCGGCTACAAGCCGCCTTCAGCTAATCATTTAAAAAAAAAAATCTTGTAGGAAATGTTATTGTATGATTCACTGAAGGTGGCTTGCTGCCAAAACGTTTTGACTGTTGATTGCTCTGTTGCAAAATTAAAATAAATTACAAATCATTAAGAAGATACAGCGAGTGCAGATCTTTTATCTGATAAAATGTAAATGTATATAATGTAGTATTTATATAATATAAAAATATTTGTTTAGTTTAAGTTAGAAATATTTAAATTATATGTAATTTGTATTTAAATTAGATAAATACATATATAAATTTAAATGCTATGTATTTTATAAACCTTATTTGCATAGTTACAGCGAGTGCAGATCCTTTATCTGAAAGTGATGTTACTGATCGATCTACGCATCCAAAATAAAGCGCAGTTGAGTGCAGTGACAAGAAAAATCAGCAGCTTAGTATTAATTTTACATTAAATATAAAAATTTAAATATATATTTATTAGTGCTGTCAAACGATTAATCACGATTAATCGCATCCAAAATAAAAGTTTTTGTTTACATAATATATGTGTGTACTGTGTATATTTATTATGTACTGTATATATAAATACACATACATGCTTATATATATTTATGAAAAATATGTTATGTTTATATTTTAAATATATTTATATATAATATAAATTATATGAATATAAATATATACATGTAAATATTTTCAAAATATATACTGTATGTGTGTGTATTTATA